CTTGTTGACTCCTGTATCACGTTAGTTAAAGACTTCGAAGCTTACAATGTTTAGGGAGAAATGGAATACTGGTGTGTATTTTTTTCTTTAAAGTACCAAGACCAGCTATATACTGTATGTTTATGTTCCAAAATTAATATCGTTTATGGCGTTCACACGCGTTACAGCATGCTCCTATTCTTTTCATGCTCAGCTACTGAGATTTCCCTTCAGTGGTAAAATTCAATATCTACAACGGGCACAGTAAAGACGTTTACAGTAGACAGTAAGTCTTTCTACGACAGACCAACGGACCACGAGTGCCCCTGTCGGTCAACCAATCACGCACTGCGGTACCCCGTGTCATCTTACCTGCGGTACGTGTCCGTACCGCTCACTTTGAATGGCTGCATCTGTATATATACTGCCTGTGCCATTTATTTTTTACTGTACAATGAATTTTGTAAAAATGTATTGTATCAGTCCTTCATAACAAATTGAAGAACCGGTCTAATAAAAAATGCAATAGCTCTAACACATTTTAATAGTTTTCTGTCTGTTTTAAATGATAACTTTCTCCGTTAAACATTTTAAAGACAATATTTTGTTTAAATATAGGATTAAAGTCAAAAAGATTAATAAACAACAGTAAGTTTTGTGTACCATGATATAATAATAGAAAGGAGCATTGCATCCAGATTTTCTTATATACTTTTTTTTTTCTCTGTTCTCATTCCAAGCTTAAAAAAGTTCTTAAAAATCTTCATCTCATATATTCATCTGCAGGGCTGTTTGTTAGTGGAGATCAAGTTCAAAGCTATCCTTGTGTATATTTGAACTGAACCAAATAACTATTTCAGGCTTTTGCAGGAATGAAATTATAGTTATGATTTTTTTTGTAAAAACTAAATTAAATCTCTGTGCTGTATCTTGTATCTGTACTACATGAACAGAGACGTGAACACAAAAACATTTAGCATACAATTATGGACAATATGTGCATGTACGCACATGTGAAAAAGAAATAACTACTTTAATTTCTACCTTACCTTTAAGATCTAAAAATGTCCCATTTCCAAATAGCAACAGGTCATAGTCACGGACCCCGCAGTAATAAGTTCCAACATCTGAAGGTTTTGTTTTTGAAATAATGAGGTTCAAACTGCTGATGTTTTTTGACACTTCAAAGCGGGTATCATTTATGAATTCTCCATACCGTGTAGCTTGAGATGAGTGAGCATACACTGTTAATATACACTTGGGAGCCTGTCCTGGGACCTGTTTAAACCAGGAGAAGTAATTAGCAGTGGAGTGTGATATGGAGCATCTCAGAGTCACAGATTTTCCAGGACTGGAGGTCACCAGGACATTTGGCTGGACAACAACCACTGGGCTCACACCTGTAGAAAGAAAAAAATATATACTTGCACATTGGAAATCTAATGCTGGTTTATTATTTCTGTTTAATGTTCACTAATAAAATTAGATAAATATTGGTTTGAGCTTTTTTTTATGAAACTCATTAAATGTTTTTTCCTTGTTGCTGCTGTTAAATTAATTATATAAATGAAAAGTGAAACAAAATATTAAATAATTTCAATGAAAAAATAATTGTAAAAATAAATGAGGTCTAAATGTTAGTTATATTATGATTAAGTATTGTGCATCTTATTAGTTTTGAATATCATTATATAAAAAATAGTGAATAATACTGTATAATCTACATAAGAAAAACATTTTCATCAAGAAATATGTTTTAACAGATTTGACTTACTTTTTCTGAACAGAAAGAGTACAAGTAAGCAGAATCTGAGCATACTGGCTGCTGCTCTCTGAATCAGGAGAAAGTGAGATTCCGAATGAAGGGAGTGCTGTGCATGTGTGACAGCTCAGGCATTGTCCACCACCCAGAATGTCATGTGTTTTGGGCGTCTGAAGTTAGCATAAACAAGCGAGACATTCAACACCCACTGTTTCCTACATTTCAAAAGACCCATTATGGAAAAAAAGTGGTTATGTACAGAGAAATCTTTGCAAAAGCACCACTGAAGCCTTAGGCGCAATTATAAAGGTCCGTTTTCTTATATTCAAATCCCATATGGAAGGACCGTGTAAATTATGAGGATAGTGCAATTCTGTCCCCATTCTATTCACTCTACATTTTTTTCAACCAAAATAAGGCTGTAATTTATCATTTACTGTTATCACCTCAGAGTCTTTTACAGATTTTGAAGTGACAACAGGAAACGCTGACAAGGTGCATTACATTGTGTGATGCTTACTAGGACTGGTGGTAAGATTGTATGATCATCTTGCATTATTAGTACAATTATTATAGAACATACTAATATTGATAGTATTTCTGAGACTGTATATCTTTCAATTTTTTTATAAAACCACATTTGTTTCCTAGCATGTAGTACTGGAACTAATATTAAAAGGGCAAAGTAATAAGCTAAAATGCCCATCTTACTTTCTCACGTATTCATATGCCATCCTTCTGAGAAGAAGTTGGTGTACCTGAAGAAAATCAGAACAAAGGTAGAAAACTGAAGAAAAAAATAAATGGAAGCTTAAACAAACATATGGCCCAAATTATTTGAGATTGCATATGCAGGAGTCAAGGCTTCTGCATTATGCATTACTTTTAACTACAGTATAGTTTGTCAAAAAGGTCAGTTCAGTCTCCAGTCTGGTGATTTTAAAACAAGGGGACAGGCAGTTTAGAAAATGCTTCTGCATAACTCTAATGATTACTTGTATCATTAGATTGTATTAAACATAACTTTTGAGGTGTGGTGGATATTTTGCGCATGACCACTGACATACTGACCTGCTCATTTTATATGAATCAGACCTGAGATTTCTCTATCATTTTGATGATCATGCACACTTTCTGTGAAAATGATGAGAGAAAAAGGAAATACATACCATTTGGCCAGTAGGGTAACTTATATCTAAAATCAAAGTATTGTAGAGGGTTGTAGAAGAATGAAATATTTTTCATGCTTTTCAAGATTACATTTTTCAGTTTGCAGGCTCTTGGTAGTTTTGGTGCACTCTAATCTGTCCATAGATTTGCTAAAAACTTTAGTAACCCTTCCTATGGTAAATGACAAAATTATACATACATACAGTATTTTTAAGCTTAATATTTAATTCAAAACCTGAATGCTCAAACTGAAGACTTCTAAGTTTCAATAAAAACGTAAACTAAAGAGAAACAAAACTGACCCATTATGAACTCAATATTTGCTGAAAGCAGTTTGTTAGCAATAACAGTGCACATTTCTTGCAGCTACCACAAGTCTCCACCCTCTTTGCACACCAATGTGGTACAATTTTCGCCTATTGTTTTGTCAGATAAGCTCACACTCTCCCAAATGTCTTGGTTATTGCTTATATATAAAAGTTTTGAAGTTTTTGCATAAAATGATAATAGGATTAAGGAATTTTACTGGACTGCTTAAAGACATTAACATTCTAATTCTTACAGTAATCCACTTCTGTGTTAGCCTTGTTTTCTGGATCATTGTCCTGTTTGAAAGGTACATTTTTGTTTTAAGTCTGCAGTAGACTACAAGTTTCATCTAGTATTTATGTATACCTCTATTTTGTTTGATCCCCTTTTTTCCCAGTCCCCCAAAAGAGACACATCCTCATAGCATGATCCTGCCACCATCATGCTTTACTGTACAGAGGGTGCTGATGTTGAAATGTTCTGTGTTTGATCAAAAATAATCCAGCTTCAACTCATCTGACCTACAAATCTTTTGCTAAATTTATACAGGATCACTGTAGTGCTTTTTTACAAACCCCTTGGGGGATTTGATATTTTTATTTTAGCTTCGTGGGGTTGGCCCCCCTACAAACAGCACAAATGATGAAACCTACCTCATCCATTAGTAGTGCAGTTTTGCCGTTGAAAGTAGCGTTTGTGCTGTTTTTGTTTCCGCGATATAGTGCCTTGTTTTATCGGCATCATGACGTTTCTCAGCCTCACAACAATATTGTAAGGAAACTGAACTGGTCTCATTTGTTAATGCTACATTTGTGCTGGTTTTGTGCTGCTGAAAGTAACTTCCCAAAGTTTTTAATTTTGATATATACAGATGCAGCCATTCTAAATGCGCGGTACAAACCCACAGTACGGTAAACTACCCACAAGCCTACGGTGCCCCGCGGTAAGTGATTGGCTGGCCAAAATGACCGACAGGGGCACTCGTGGTGCATTGGTTGGTAGTGAAAAGATTTAATCATTTAATGTCTTTACTGTGCACATTTTAATCCGCTTAGTTTTGAATATTTATATGGAATTTTACCGCTAAAGGGAAATTTTAGTAGCTGAGCATAAAAAGAAGAGGAGCATAACGCATCTGAAGGTCATAAACGATATTAATTTAGGAACATAAACATTACTGTATGTACGTAAACTGTACTGTGTATGGCTGGTCTTGGTAGTTTAAAAAAAAAAATACACACCAGTCTTCCATTTCTCCCTAAACATTTTAAGCATCAAAGTTTTATGAAACGGTACCCAAATATGCGATTGCTGTATAGAATGAATTTTAATTAAAAAAAATTATTTAACACGAAAACTAAGCTGTTTACATCTTCCGCCTGAAAACAGTCACCCGTTGCTACCCAACGCAGAAACACTAGTTGCCACTAACTAGCAAAGAGAGGACATTAACTAGTCAATATGTTAAAGAAATAAATGATTATTTTGTTTATTTCTTTTGCACATTTATTTGAACATTTCCATCGATTGTACAAGCACTTGGAAACTGTCCAGTACCTAGTTCATCAGGCATTTTCTTTTACACTGCGGGCATTCTCCCGGTCTGGCGCCGGTCTGTCTTCTAGGATATAATGCCAGCGAACTCTTGTTTTTATGTCCACTATAACAGACAATCTCCTTTGCTTTTAACCGAGCGTCTAACCCCTCTGATTGGAGAAAAAAGTGTGCTGGTTTGCTATACATACTGTACCAGGAAGATGATTTCTTTCTATTCGAAACGTGTATTTTAAAAGTTTAAGAGGTAAAAACCTTACAGCATACACAGATTTCTAAACTGATCAGGATCGTTATCTTTGTCTTATCCATAATAATGTTCACCGCTCTGTCCAACAAATTAATAATAAACTTTTATATAGCGTTTTAAACGAATAAGTAATTAGATTGCTCATAAACCTAATCACTTTTTCTACATAAACACAGCGTGATTGCTCTCTGAAAATGCTTTTTCTTTTTATTTAGGCTCAGATTTAAACTATAGATTGTATTATTATAAACTTTCTTGGAAAAATGTATTTTATGTAAACCATGTTTGCTATTAATTCATTTAGGGCTAGAATATGTTCATTGTCTTCCAATCGAGTCGAGTTGACATTAGAAGCTTGCCATGCCCAGACTGTTACACAAACGCATTAGCATGTTAAAGCAATTTCATTGAGGAGCCTAGCTTTTTTAACTAGTAAGTACTGTACTTCCTTGGTTTTGGAGGGGGGAGGTGTCTTTCGCTGGAAATCTCGCCCCCTTCTACTTTGAAAATACCTGTGAAACCGGTTTAATTAGTCACAGCCAGCACTCCCGCAGAGAGGGGGGTTGTACTCGTTAATGTCTTAGCCGGAACACATCATTATATCTCATTTTGTATTTCTATAAAAAAATTGTTTGCCCAGCCTAACACTATTGTTGTTATTGTTTTTATCCTGTAAAGCGCTTTGAGGAGCACAGCTTTCTCACCACTTAGATTACTTTTTGATACCATCCTTACACAAAACAAAAACTTCTTGTATTTTCCGATGACATACAAGTGGAAAGATTGCAGATTTTAATTGTCTTTTTTCTGAGCCAAGGAAAATCTGATCATGTTTCTCTATAACAATAATAAAAAAACTTTATTTTACATATCACCTTTAAAAGTGGCATCTCAAAGCAATACAGTACATGTAAACCGAAGATTACATAGTAAATACCCAGACAAACACAAACGCGTTTTTAATAAAATGCTTTTATTCATTCAGCAGAGAGACAGAGCGTAAAACCTGGGCGTAACAGCTGTTTATTTTTCTGATCACTCGCTCTTTGGATAAACGTCTCACCTGTCCTGTTCTTTGTTTTCCTAATTTGCCTTCTGCAATCCACTCCTGCCCTCACACCTAAAGAAGACTATTTTAAATTTCTTTGTGCTGTCCACTGTGCAATTAACCCTTGTATGTGCTGTCCTTAAGGTGAGGAGAAAAAAGAGCTGACTGACAAGATTTAAGATTTAAGACAAGCCGATACATACTCTTAGAGTTTGATAAATAGGGAATATAATATAAAAATATAGTACTAAAAATAAGATACACTCTACAGACATTCACAACAGCGACTGTCAGAAGATAGGACACAGCGGCTCAGACACCCGCTAAATGGAAAGGGGCACTTTAATGTTCTGTATGGCTAATACTAAAGCCAATACTTTAATATTCTTTTCTGTATGTTTAACAATAGCGGGTACTGGCCTAATTTGGCCCTGCTCCTGTTGTTAGGTGTTAATGTGTTGTTGTTAAGTGTGAATTTGTACCTGTTTCCCTGAGGTTCCCTTTTTTCTGGAAAACCATAACTCTGGTCTTGTCCAGATTGACTGTCAGCGCCCAGGTCTGACAGTGCTGCTCCAGCAGTGACAGGTTCTGTCGCAGCCTCTGTTCTGTGGGCGACAGCAGGACCAGGTCGTCTGCAAAGAGCAGGAACTCGATTTCTGTAATTAATGCAGATCAGTAAATCAAGGGACAAAACAATTGTTGCGCCATTTGTGGTAGTTTGTGCCAATGAAAATAACTTCCCAGCTGCTTACATGCAAATATAGCACAATTAGGTCACAGCCCATTTATTTGTGTATTCCTGG